ATTTATATATATATAGTATGTATAATTATATTTATTTTTAAATTATTACCATATATTTGTTTTATACTATTATATATAGTATATACTATTTAATATAACATATTACATAATATAAAATATAATATATGTTGTTGTATAATATATTTGATGTATATAATAGATATTTTCAATACAATATATATTATATATTGTTTTATGTCTAATAAAAAAATAATATTTAAATAAACATGACTTTGTATTTCAACAAGTTGTCAAACACAGCTACCCAATTTCCAAGGGCCAAACAGGCCACACAAGTAAAATAACAATTATATAAAGGATTTTTTAAGAAGTTAGCCTTTACTATATTTCTTTTAAGAAGTTGCGTATGTTGATGCTTCCTTTAAGAGTTTTCTCTGACTCCATGTGGAGATGAAAAAGTTATCTTAGAAGTTCTTTTTATTAGAAAAGACTTATTAACAAACGATGTGGTTTGCATAAGGTAGCAACGTTATTTATAAAAGTAAGGTTAACAATGTTTTTTACTATTTATTTTAATTGGATGGTGTAGATTTATCACATTGTTTAACATAATATCAACAGGTAAATTTTGTGAAGTCTACATCATCCAAATAAAATAGACAATATACATTGCTTCAACATTACTTCTACAAATATTGTTGCAACCCGATATAAATTATTTCGTAAAAAAAATACGAGAATAAGAGCTGCGTGAAAGAAATGAGTATAGCAGTAGGAAATTTTCATACACAAACTTCATCAAGACTGAATGGGAAAAGAAAATGGTACTCCTTTTGGCAGATAATGTGGAAAAGGTATCCCATCTTCTGGCCTTGTTGGGAGCCAAGGACCGCCTCAAACTGTTCCGAGCAGATCTGTTGGCAGACAGTAGTTACGATGCTGCCATTGACGGCTGCGATGTTGTATTCCATACCGCAACTCCAATCAACTTCCAGTCACCAAATCCCGAGGTAATAAGAACAAGAAGCATATCATAAAACATGGATAGACTATGCTAGACATCTTATATGTGTATGTCGTACTTTTCCAAATAAAAATGTGTGAACTGAATCAATTTCTATTTAACTAGGAATTAAAGCTATAGTCTAGGAGGTATTATTCTGCATGGAACTCCTGCTATAACTATCCCATGTTCCTCATGAAACAAAACTCTAAAAGGAAAAGGATAACTAAATGAATGTCAATTATTTTTCAGAAGGACATGATAGAGCCTGCGATCGAGGGGACCCTCAATGTCTTGAAGTCATGTGCCAAGACCAAGACAGTGAAGCGTGTGATCCTGACTTCCTCGGGAGCAGCGGTATCGATTAATAAGAACCAAGAAATGGGGCAAGTCATGGACGAGACATGTTGGACTGAAACTGATTTTCTTTTCTCCGAGAAGCCGCCTACTTGGGTAACAATTATTGTCCCCTGACTTTTCAAAAATGTAACTATTTAGGAGTGTATAATATACAAAATCAGAACATGGCACTCGGTGTCCCCCATAGGCCGAGTAACTCAGCCAAGTTTTAAATTAGTGGTGTATGTTATACTCACAAGAGAGCATACTATGCCCCTATGAGAGTTTTTGTTGGAGTTTGAAATATTGGATATGTGAACCAAGGAGCCAGTTGGACTTATTATATGTCTCCATCAGTCCAACCTCAACAACCTAGATTCTGATGTTCACAACAGGGCATGCAACAATATGATACCGAATATTACAGAAACTGTTCATTTTTTATTTATTCCTTTATCTAAGGGACGAGCATAATATTCACATTGGATAACTTTGAAAAATTGCAACACAAGTTTACTACATTTTGTGAATCACTTTCATTAGTAGGTAGATTTTTGTCATTGTTTAAGGATGAATGAAAAGATGTCAAGCAGAGCATTGGTGTTGGCACTAATTTTATTACTACAAAGGATTAAAAGAATTGTTTGGGATGCCCATGCATCATCACTGAAACATTTGTGCAACCTTTTATCATAAGAAAAAGAAAAAAAAGTCGATCGTACTTTCATTTGGGAATTGCAGGGAGATTGTTTTTGTGGAATACATATAATCAGAATTTTTGAGGCATTAATCGGTGGAATTTGTGATGTGAACAGGGGTACCCAGCATCCAAAGCACTTGCAGAGAAGGCAGCATGGGAATTCGCAAAAGAGAATAACGTAAACCTTTATGCCATCATCCCCGTCCTCATGGCGGGCCGCTCTCTCACACCAGAGGTTCCCAGTAGCGTTCAATTAGCAATGGCTCCACTTACAGGTATGCATGATTTGGAGTACCATCTCATTTATTTACATCAAGTTTTTCCTATTAAGTTTTCATTGAATTTTTTGCATCAGAATATGATGGATATCAGTAGTTCTTGAATTCACACATTCACAAACATAGACTCCAATTTCTTGATCTATGCAACTATATGGAACATTATTTTAAAAACCAGATTGGTTTGGTGGATGGCCCACCACATATTCCGATTTGAATCAGCTGGATTGCACATCCAGCAAAATTGCAAAAATAAAAAGAAGTTATATAGTATATTTATAACAAATAGTTTAACTGTTGAACTAGCTAGATCAAGGTTCATATCCCATCCCCCTTTTTATAAAAACTTAAAATAAAATATATATATACCTTAGGCATAAAATTGGGGTGAGCTAACCACTATTGATCTTATTAAGATATTTAGTGGAAGCAATATGAAGAACTAACTCGGTCACCAAAGATTGCTGATCCGAATCGGTGATTGCGAATTCAGATTGGCAATTTTTTGAACATTGACATATCGTATTCAATAAATCCGAAAAGCAATATTATGCATTGTTGTTTCTCATCTACTTAGGGTGATCCTCATTTATGGGGTCATTATGTTCATGAAATTATCCATGTAGTAAGAAAACAGTCATAATATCTTTAATCTACTTTGAGGTGCTCATAATAACCAAAATGCTAGCGCAACGGCTTTCGCACTAGGCTAGCCGTTGCTTCTTGCAAGAAAATGGATGTGTGTTAGCATAACAGCTTTTGTGCTAGGCTAGCCATTGTTTCTTGCAAAAAAACATATTACATCGAGCTGCAAGCAATCCTCTATAAACATTCAATAACACGTTTTTGCAACAAAAAAAAACTTTAGCGAAGATATGCAAATGCGTTTTTTGATTTAGGGTAATAAATATACAGAGAACTCAATTCATTATTTTGGTGAAGAAAAACAAGTATGGTTTCAAAAGGATACGCACATATTTTCAATCAAAATTTGATGGGAAAAAAATTCAATTTCAAAGAAAACCCAAAAGAAAACCAAAACTTCATTCCAATGCTTTGGGCCTGGACCAAATAAATGAAGTAACATTCAAGAAATTCATGAACACTCAAATATTTGTTCATGAAATTATTCATACGCGTAACATTCAATAAAACATTGATTCAAAAGCACAAATATCTTAGTGTTAAATCCAATTCACTATTTTTCAGGGAATGAATTTCTGATGATGGGGCAGAAGGGGATGCAGATGCTCTCTGGTTCAATCTCCCTTGTACATGTGGATGACGTGTGCAGTGCACAAATATTCTTGGCAGAGAAAGAATCAGTTGCTCCGGAACGTTATATTTGTTGTCCCATTAACACATCTGTTGTTGAGCTCGCAACCTTCCTCTCAAAGAAATATCCACAGTTCAAAGTTCCTACAGAGTAAGCTAAGAAAATAACCTTCAATGAAGATTAGAATCTTTATTCTTTGAATTTAAAAGTTCATTATACTTATATTTCAACCAATTCCATAGAAATGAAACTCCATGTTTGACAAACAGATTGACATAGACCATGAAAATTTTCTAGACTTTGGAGCCCTAATTTCTTAGTTGTGATAGTCTTTGTGCATATATAAATTAGAAAGATTTATACATAATATATAAGAGAAATATCTCTCACTATACACCATTAGGGATTCAAACTAGAACATAATTTTATCTAAGATTGAATCCCCAATAGAAATCCTTGTGAAAGCCAAGCTCAAATCAGTCCAACTTTAAAAACTACACTTCTTGATACACTAACATTCAAGCCTTAACAAAAACGAACTCTTCAGAAACACTCCCAAAATCAAAATGTACTAGATCCTTTGAAAATAAGCACTTTATAGCCATGGGGGCATTAGGGACCTTTACAAAATTCCTAATCCTAGCACAGGGACGACTACTTGAACCATCTAGATCTAGTGCTCCTTTTTAGGCTCTTACTAAAGGCAAGCTAGTAAATATTGCAAGCAACGTTATGTATTGTCATGTCCACAATTAATACGTGTTAAAACATATCCCAAACAAGTCGCCACCACTTTGGAGGCAATTAATCCCCTAGGTGACTTCATAAAAGTTGTCCCACCCCCTCTTTTGATTTAGACGCTCTACCACCTGTTGTTTTCTCACTTTCCTTGCATAAAAACTCTCTGTCTCTCTTTCTCTCTCTCTCTCTCATACATAGCTACAACTAATCTCTCAACTAATATTCAAAAATTTGATCAGTGGCCAACTTGGTCCATGCCAAAAATTCGATTGGCAGCCAACTTGGTCCATGCCAACACTTGTTGATTGCTGAGTAGGGCTTTTTAGAAAATTAAAAAAAAAAGTTACGACCACATTGTATTTGCCCTTTATATGACAATGTTATACATAAAATTATATGTAACCAAAATCTGAGGCACAACTGAGTTTTTCCATTTATAAACTCATCCAATGGCTGAGTGGGGTAGAGTAGGCGAGTTTATATGAGTCAAAATCAAGGTTTTATTAACTGCACTAGACTGCAGACCAAAAACAAATGATACATGGGACTTTCAATCACCTACATAAGTTATGAATCACTTGCCCCTTCAGTATGACTTGTTTGAATTGCACCCCTTCTCAGTTGAGTTGCATAAACTTGGCAAAAAACTATAAACAATGATTTTTAAACACATAAAGAGGTTCACAAGACTTCTCTTGCTGAATTGCTATCGAATTTCAGAAAATTTACGGAGTTTTTAAAGAGTTTGTCTTCTCAAGTTCACATATGTTAACAACCCTAACAAAGTATCTTTTGTTGCAGTTTTGGTGACTTTCCGACAAAAGCAAGGCTGGTAATCTCCTCAAAGAAGCTAGTTGGAGCAGGTTTCAACTTCAAGTATGGTATCGAAGAGATATATGATGAATCAATCGAGTATTTCAGATCTGTTGGTCTGTTGGCCAAGTGAAATTTTTATTAAGGCCACAAACATGGTTCTAGGGCAGGATCAAATTATGTTATTTTCTAGTGACTCATGGTGATCTTGTATTGGAAGTGTATTTGATCATTAGTGCGAGTGAACACATATGTAAGTTGATCAACCTACTACAAATATAAATCTAGTTCAGTAAGCATGAGGTCTACATCCTTTTGGGAAACACAATACTAATGATATAAATCTAGTTCAGTATGCATGAGGTCTGGATTCTTTTGGGAGCCACAAACATCTTTTGGGAGCCACAAACATACTTCAAAATAAATGCATGGCAAAGTTGAGGAACTATGATTACTATAGAAATAGAAATTATGTTTGATAAGCAATTGCTAGAACACATCATGTCACAATTGTTCAATTGTTTTGGATGGCAACATTGAATACAATGTGAGGCCGGAACATGATATTTGTTATGTCGCGAGGCAGTAGTTGTGAAAATTATGGGTGTGGCTGAAATAGGGGCTATATAAGTGGATAGTAAATAATACTAATAGAAAAAAGACAAACCGTCCTGATTTCAGCCACATGTAAGTGTTGTCTAAAGACAATATCTGCTCCTGCAAGGTAAAACCAGTACGAAAGATTGTTTAGGACAAAGTAGACCTCAGGATAGCTGAAATAGAAGATCTCCATACAAACTTGGCTATTTAATAGCAGTCTTAAATACACTAGAGTTGCCTTTAGTTTATAGAGAGAAAAGTAACAAGAGAGCTAAAATGGGTAATAACAAGTATGTATAAATGGGGAAATTGGACCCCTATCTTTAAAGTAGGGAGCTGGCTTTTCAAATGCAGTATTGTGATTGTTCACTAACTATTAATTGATGATTGCTACTTAACAATCTCTAAACACTAGAAAACCAATAGTCCTATAGTCAAAAACTTCCACAACTGCAGTACAAAATCGCCACTTTTTTTTATTTATTCTTCAATGTGGGACTATAAACCCATACCTTCTCTCGCTATAATGAAATGATTTTGAAAAACTATAGCATAAACTCATATTATTTTGAAATACAACATATTATTTAACAAAACTTAAATACTAGCAATTTTCTCTACCATTTCAAAATAATATGACAAAACTTATGCAACAATATATTATTTGCATACCATGAAGGTACTGGTTGATTTGAGATTTTGGTTAATGAATGCATTACAAAGTCCATCAAATTCCATGGTAACATATAACATTGAAACAAGACCTTATTCAACCTAATGGTAGTACAACACACAAATAATATAAGTAATATATATTTCTAAAATATTAATTATTATGAGCACACTTCGAGTATTACACTTATATTTCAATTTCATAAGTGCTCTAGAGACAAGTCTCATCTCATAGGAAGTGATCTCAAAAGTGTGGCAATCTAGGGTGCCCTTATATATAGTAACCCTCCGAATTTATAAATACTCTTTTTTGAATAATGAGTTTATAAATACTAATAGACATTATTAAGAGCCTAACTCATCCTTCTTTTGTCAAGTAATTATAGTCTTATCCACCGTATGAATTTATTTGGAATGGGTACTTATGATTGACTAGTGACCAAAGAATCATGCAATCTGCTTATCATTAACATAAAGGTACAGTTTGCATACAGATGCATCTGTAGATGTATAGCTAAGGTGCACCTTCAAATTTTATCATGGTATATAATTTTGATGTAAAATATTTTTAGGATTATCTCAAAATCCATTTTTATATCTAATTATAAAATTTTAAATTTCAAAAATGGTTAAAATCAAGGAGATCTATAAACATATGAAAATCTTGAAAATAGACGGTGTAGATAATATGTTGTAAAATGCACTATTTCTGAAACTTAAAATCTTTTTATTTTTTATAGTCATACATCTCGATGTCGAGATGATCAATCAAAGGGTTTTTCAACTTTAAAACCACCTTTTCTGATAGATTTTTTTGGGGCATTCGTAGTTCTACATTATAAGGTAGGATCCTTATTATATAAACTTTTTCTTTAACATAATGAACCTAGAATTTTAAAGTTACAAAAAGCTACTTTGGGTTCCTGTTGATGATAATTACTTTCCAGACTCTAGCCCCATCGTTTTAATATGTTACTGTTGGGGTATATTTTGTAACACTAAAAATTCTAAAAAGGAAACAAATAACCTATACAAGCTTTAAATAAGGTAAAACCTATACAATCCGGCTATCAAAACTTGTCTAAAGCGGCCTTAAAATATTCTAAAGTTAAAAACATGGAGCATGAAAAGGTTCCCCAGCTAAACAGGGTGTTGATCGTGATTCTTTATTGATTGTGTTGTTATTGATTGTGTTGGGGGCTGGTTAGTGGTTTATTTTTTTATATATATATGAGCAAAGAAAAAAGAATTATATAAGGTAGACACTTTAAATTGTAGAATTAAAGTGAACCTCAAGAATACATCGAAAGAGGTACTTTTGATATTGGAAAACCATCTAATTGATCATCTTAAGAAGGTGAACATTAAAAATATATCGAATGAGTGATGTTCGAAAACAATCTAATTGATCATTATACCAAGATGTATAGATATGACAAAAAATTTAAGTCCAAAAAACTGTACATCTTGCAATACATTATCCAGACCGTCGATTTTCAAGACTTTCATGTGTTTATATATATATATATATATATATATGCTTGATTTGAACCATTTTTAGAATTTAAAATTTTATAATTAGATATGAAAATAGATTATCGGGCCATCCTAAAAATATTCGATATCAAAATTGCATCTTGGGACAGTTTGGAGGTACCCCTACTTGTTTAAAATTGCAACCTTGTGCAAACCACATGCATTAAACAAAGAGACAAAATTCCTTTCAAAATAAATAGCAATGCTTAGATTGAGGATGTGAATATTATCAAGAAGGCTTGGGCATAAAAGTAATGTATAGGCAGCTTTTCAAGCCCATCGTCATTATACTTTTCCTCAAACCTGGTCCTCAAAAGGCATACGATGAAGTAGGCCCTCTGTGATTTAGGTCATTTTATGGGTCCATTAGCGTGGGCCACCGGGCCAAGAAGTTCACTTGTTATTTAGGGCCCAATAGCGCTGTACGGGGCCCTTTATACATTATAAATAAAAGACAATATATATAGTTAAACAATATTTGTTCGTTTAAGCTACCAATTAGAATCGGCATGGTTTAAAAGGCTCTTTTAGGTTTTATGTACGGGTGCTGGTAGTACAAGATATCAACCTTAAACACCTATAAATCTTACTAAAGGATGCAATTTTGTCATTAGAACCCTTTCCGATGACTTTAAAATCTATTTTCACACCTAATTATAAAATAAGCTTCAATAATTATGTAGTTAGGCAGATCTATAAACACTTAAAATTAAAATTTTAAAAATTGATTGTCTAGATAACATATTTACGACTTTTAAGATTTGAAATCCTTTTTTTTTTTTTCATATCCATAAATATTGGTCAATTGTAGGGTTTTCTGATATTGGAATAACCTTTTCCACGTGAATTTTCGAAGTGAGCCTTACTTGCATAATAAAGTGGACACCTTGTATAAATTTTTCCCTTTGACTGCAAAATGATGGCATCAGTATTTCCAAAAATGTAAGAGATAAATAAGAATAAAACGTAGGTTGGCTTATCGTGCTTTTTGGGGCTGACTCAAACGTGGGATATCTCCCCTAGTGGACAGTAATGAAGAACCATTATATCGAATCCTTTTGGCAAGAATGGAGCACCATAACTATCGACTTAAAACCGATATTATCTCAAAATCATTCCAAATAGAACTCAAAACAAGCCCCCTTATTAACAAAGAACAAATAAATGCGCATACGTACGCACACATGAACAGATAATCATGGGCAGCAGCACTGGCGTCAAGGTTAAACATCTAAGAAGCATCTGGTGTATTGAAATAAGGGCTTAGGACTTAACAGAAAAAAGTAAAACCACACCTCAAATCTCAATAAAATTTTTCTAGCTCCTTGTCAGAAAACCCGTCAAATTAATCATCACAACCTTGACCATCATGGATGTGAGAAAAAATAAAGATTTCAAGCCCCAAAAATAGCATATTGTTTAACTCATTATCTTCACCGTCCAAATTCTAGTATCCATGGATCCATAAGATCTAACCATTTTTTAAGCATCAAATTTCATAATCAGATGTAGAAATAGATTTCAGCCATCACATGGGTTCGCATGTCAAAAACTACATTTCTGGTTAGTTTTTTTTAATGAGGCTTTACTTTTTTCCCTTAGGCCTTAGACCTTGTAGAAACTGCATCGAATTTTAAAATAGGACAAGCATTAACTTAAATGCACACTATTTCCAATTCGGGAGCTGTGAGCTCCCGTTAACTCAAAATGACTTTTTCTTTTTTCTTTTATAGGCCATGTATGAACTCTAGAGAAGCTTGAAACCTAAACATAAGAAAAAATTGCAATTGTTCCTAATAGGTCCAGAAAATTAGTATGACATGTAGTATAGAACATTAGGATACTCCCCGAGGATAGAAAAACATGAGATGCGGTATGTTATAACCGAGAGACTATCAGAAGGTAATACAGCTGTTGATTCAGTGACAAAAAGACTAATGAAATTTCATTAAACTAAAGGTCCTTTCATGAGATTTTAGAACAATTTCTTTAGAAACCAAGCAAATAGTGATAAAATGTTTAACCAATCCATGCATTGCTCGAAAAATTGCAAGCATATTGTTTATTGTACTGATGCATCATTCTAGGAACCAATGTAACATTTAGACATTTGTTATGGTACTTATGAGCTGATTCGGCAACAGTTTTATGAAGCAGCCCATGTGAAACGTAAAAAGTCGAATTGAGAAAACATGTCACCAACAATTTGTTATTTTAATTGTTTGGGAATATGAATATTAGCCTGCTCAAAAGTTGACAAGGCGTTAAATTACCAACACAAGAAATATATTTGAGATCAAACTTTTTAAACCATAAGGCACTAAATCACAACAAACAATGTTAATGTATTATCTATTAGTATTACCATATGTAAGGACTTAGATTTCACTGGCAAAACATGCTTCTTACAACAAAGGAACAGTAGTAGGATTACACAACAGTAGTACACAAGAAGAACAGTGAGAAATTTCATTTGCACCACTGAATTAAAGAAATCAGCCCAAAACATATTTTGTTACATAGGCAAGAAGTTACAAAAATTGATGACACTATGTCAACAAGACAAAAACACAAATAAGTGACATTAATCAGATTTTTTATCATTATTTCTGTCTTTTATCACCTTCTTCCAATTCTCGGCACTATCTATGACTTCGCCAGTTTTCAAGAGATAACGAACCCTGGTACCATCTTCGAGGATTTTATGCCCCACTCTGCTTGCCACTTTCTGCTCTTTTGAATACAACATCACATTTGAACTATGAATAGGTGCTTCAACCTGCAGAAAGAATCAAGAGGATATAGTATTATACACTTGACTTTCTTTTTCTTTTTTCTTTTTTCTTTTTTCCTTTTTTTTTCCTCATGGTTAAGTTTTCATATGCATTATTCATATAGTAATATTTACATGAATCTGCAACTGAAACATCAAAAGTTACGATGCAATAGCATACGCTTGATTCCGCTATATTACATGAATCCTGTAGCTGAAACAAAGAAAATATCACTAATAACTGAAAAAGATAGTTCACTTGACTCATAAGGTCCCAGGGGCACCCTACTCAGCGTAACATGGGTGAACTGGAAATGCTGGACTACCTGAATACATATGCAATGGAACAGAGATCCAAACAGGCTGAGGAAAGCTAGGCAAAGAAAACCAAACTTCTAGGCCTGATTTTCTTCATTTTCTCTTAATTTTAGTAAATTAAACGTCTTATATCTCATTGAACTGCCTTGAACTCAAACAAACACTATTTGAGCTGATTTTCCTCTGATTCAATGATCTTAGCATTTATATCCAATAACGCGACAAAGTGAGCTAAGACGATATACTCATTCCGCAAAATGCACTTCTAAAACAAAAAGAAATGTTCCATACAGCTCAATCAAGTCAAAAACCAAGGAAAGGTTCATAACTAGGAAAATAGAAAAGGAAACATAATTAAGACAGGCAAATTGACGTTATAGGCCATCAGATGTAGCTTGAAAATTGACGTTATAGGCCATCAGATGTGGTCTTGAAAATAGAAATCCCAGTTTTGTGCATTTGAAGAGTTCATTCACAGACGATCTTGCACAAAATAGCGACCAGACAAGTTGGACCATTCAAGCCAACTAGGAAATAGATTATATAAGGACACAAACTTGTGATTAGAGAAAGGGGAAAAAAAGAAAGGAACAAATGGTGTATACAAAATACTCCATTTAAAAATAAGAAATCTTCATATTTTATGTAGAGCACAACTAAATAGCTAATATTGAGAATGAAACCCATATATGAGCTGAAACTTTGCCCTAACAAACAGGACTGGTGAAACCAACCTTGACAATCTGCCCAGGTTCTCCCTGTTCTCTGCTCTTCATGTGCTTTGTTTTAAGATTGATATCCTTCACAATTACAGTGCTGTTATGCCTGAATAATCTAGTTATTTCTCCAATTTTTCCTTTCTCTTTCCCAGAAATCAATTTGACTGTGTCCCCCACCTTCACATGCAACTTATGCAATACAGGAAGACTATTTGGTTTGCATTCCTTCCGCTCCCATCTCTTAAGCTAAATAATTGGAAAATGGACAGTTACCCAAAGTTAGACCTTTTAATTGCATCAAGCATTCATACCAAAACATTCTCCTTTTAAAACAAAGGCGAAAGTCTTAATTTTCTTTTATTTTCTTTAGAATAGCCACCAATGATGCCTTATTGATTAAGTGAAGGATGCAATGTACCAACCTTCATTATCAAGCATGGCTTATCAGCAAAATTCACCTGCATGTGAAGTATGTCAGTCATCTTAAAAAGATAAAAGTTGAGTTTAATATTTAACATCCCAAGAAATCACGTGCCTCTCATCACAATACATCTATTTATTTTAATGTTCCTACTATAACACACATTCTGGAGCATTACAAGCAACTGTTGAAGATTATCAAGCCACATATTGGAAATTTTATATAATGAATAGTTTAAAAAGTCTAACCTGGTCTGCTTAACAGCAAGATTGCAGACAATTATCATACATTTTACTCTTTATCCAAAACAATAATAATAAGGGTCATGAGACAATCCCGCAAGAACCATGTCTCAGTGTCTTGCAGACCATAAAAGAAATCAGACACAGTTAAGAAATAACAATATTTGTTACAATAAACCAAAAAAAAACTTATACCCTAAATCCTCAGGCAAGTATAACCAAAAGAAGACATTGAATATTGGTAGCCATACTGAGAAAAAAAATGTACTCAGTCTTAGAGCCACGGAACCAGCATTTTACACCATTTATAGAGTGGACTGTTAAGATAGTTCATCAGAATGCAGGCTTCTTTAACGATAATATTTTTTTTTTCTTACGAGTAAGCTTGTTTAACCGAGATCTTCCCAATAAATCACAGGATCTTCATATAACCTCAACAAAAATACATGGTAAGGAATCAATACTTGCACTTGCTCATGCAGTACGTCACATTACTTGCTCACAAAATGTGACTACTCCTAGAGAAAACTATGAAGTATGCATTAATATGGGTCATTTTTATCATCATTTCCTAAGGGTATCTATGTTGTTTTGGGCTCATAATATGGTGTTCCTCAACAGAAATGTTTCCTCTTAACCACTCTAGGATTACATATAACTAACTAACAACTGCAAGTAGAAAATCAGAACCCTTTGTTCATGGTAATTGAGCACAAATTTCTTCAAGAGTAAAGGTCGCAATGCGCCGAGTGGCCTGGCCTGGCCCATAAAAACTGGGGCCTAGGCCACAATATGTGGCCCGAGGGCCCCCAGGAGCTAGGCCACCAGGGGCCGAAAGCAGGGCTGGGACCAAAGCCATGACAGGTCCGACCCCATTCAGCCCAGTCCCCATTTTTATTTAATTTTCATTTTATTTTTTTAAAATTTTTTTCCTGCCCAGCCCGACCTGAGAGAGCTAAAGGCTGGGCCTGGGTGAAGGCCACCTTGTATCGCCCCTACAGGAAGTAGGCCTGGGCCAGTACATCCAGTTGAAAAGAAGCTTGGAATCAACTCAAACAAAACCATTCAAAAACCACCCAAAGATAATGAGATCCCCTATATGGGGACCATGCTGAACGCAAAAAATATCATTTAGAAGCCCTAGTTTTTATTATGTCTCTCAGGAATGTCGTGTTTATTTTCTTCTGTTTCCATTAAAAAGGAACCCCAAACGCATCCACCTCACCCATCTCTTGACCTTCTCTATACCTTAGCCACATCAAATTCTACTTGTGTCCATTGCTTAATCTATGTTTCTCCCATTCACTTGTCATGAGTGAATGACACAATACCAGGGGCCCCTTGAAGAATTGCAAATCATGGCTATAGATTTTTAGGTGGGAGCATTTTTTATTTAAAAGTAGTGTTGGAAAGAGAGAATGAAGCCATTTTTGAGGTTGTATGTAATGTCTTGTAAGCAGAGGATTGTTATTTACTACACAGGATAGGCTAGATTAATGATCACATAGAAATATTCCTTATGAAGAATCAGAGGTATTAATTGGAGTCCTCGCAAATATTTCTAGTAATATACGCAAGCCTGGATGATAGGGAGGGAAACCTTGTCATCAGTGAATTCTAAGAGAAACAAATCTATAGATATTCATAAAGTGGATGTGTCCTACATGGAGGATATGAAGCAGCATTCACAAATGACACAGTGTCATGGGTCTTATTCTAGGATATTGCAAAAGCATGTAAAAGCATTAGCATTTACGGCCACTTCAATATTAATTTTTATTTGGTAGATTTATTTCATATATTCTAGATAATTATAGGGGGTATTTGTGTCTTAAAATTTCTCATTGTAGTGGTTCCTTTTCTCTGACTTCTTTTTGATTGTACAGAGTCTAGGATGTTATTATATGTGTACCATGTTATCTAACATAAGAAAGGTACAGCCCCCAATCATATGAAAGGGGTAGGTCCTCACAGTTTTTTATGGGATAAACTTCAAAGGTTCGAACACTGAGTATCCCTCAAACAAACCAAATGTCTTACTATTAGATCCAGGCCTAATGGAGTTGTAACTCCAACTCTGCTTCTCTCAAATCTCTTCATACCCATCTCGTCCACTTTCTCTTTCACGGTTTGTCTTCTTAACCATCAACGGACTCGAGCTTTCGCATGGTAATAAATCCTGATCAAAGAGACCTCTCAAGTTTCAAATCACTCCTAACAAATGGGATTCAAACCTGGGAAATGGAATGAGCTTCCCATGAAAGAAATCAGCCACAAGCACAATAATTTCATTACCACTCTAAATGAGATGCCAATTGGGTTGGCTGCCCCTTATATTTCGTTGAACCTAAACCCTAAAAGCGCTCTTCAACTAGTAAATATGCTATACTTGGGGGCACATGGAGTAGTATAGAACACATTGCCCTAGCATGATCTAAGGAAGAAGCCAATCATATAGCCACGGCACTCATATGCAAACTCATCTAGCTTAAGGTTCTTCTTCATGACATTGGCATCTGGAATCTCAAACTTTCACTGCAGTGTATTCCGACAGTCAAGCAGCCACAGGATCTGCTGCGGTCTTAAATGAGCATACAAAGCCTATTGGTATATTATTATCATTTCATGGTGACAATCTGTTGAGATCATAGTTTTCAGCTCTCGAGCATTGAAGAGAGATCTATCTTCTTCTCTAAGTTTAACATTGTAAGAGACCAACCCAAGGGTTTCTAGTTTTTCTCTGTTTTTGAGTCAATAAGCTTGGAGAGACCAATTGGATCTCAACATCACCCTTCTTATTTTTTAAGTCTCGTTCTTCTCTTGCGATTGAGAGTAAGTTTGCACTTTCCTTCTTCGTAGTTTGATTACCAAAATTAGATTTTGAGTACCTCCCGATTTCTCCTTGATCTTTAGATCTGCATCGTATGCAAATACAGATCGTTCCCCTTTGACAATATACTCTTATTCTTGCTTTACTTTGGGGTTTAGATCTAGGGTTTTTGAGTTCTTCTGATTTCGGGTTTGTGACCAGTTTTGTTCTCTAAAATTACCACAGCCAATGCACAGGAGTGCTTACCCTAAATTTATGTCTCAAATATTTCTTCGCCCCCCCCCCCCCCCCCCCCGCCTCCAATTTACCAAAATCACAGCTAATGCACAGGAGCGTTTTCCCTAAATTTCAGGTAAATAGAGTTACCTGAAACAACAAGCAACAGGGAGGTAGAAAGCAAGTAGATGAGAAGCTAGACGAAAGGGGGTGAGTACTGTGCTCAACCGCCATGAGTCCGCCAAGATATCTTTTTAAGGGCTGTGACTTGCTGGCCCCCTCGGTCAGATCAGCTACCGGAACAGTTAACAACACCTCACGGTGTCCCTAACTGGTATTATGCTCATAGGAAAAGAGAGGTTCGCTATCCCGAGTTCCATCTTGGAACGGGGTTAGACGAGTCCACCAAAGGACTATTAGAGCGCGATGACTCTACCGGGCTTGGTTACCCAATTCTTTGGACGAAGCAATCTCAACTTCACTTCTGATTTATTTCACACAAAGGGATTACATATTTATAGTGAAACATAGCCCCAGATTACCACATAGTTACTCAAAAAATAGTGGACTAAAACCAGGGACAGAAAGTAATACCGCTATGAAAAAGCAAAACTATACAGTTCCCAATGTATAGTTTTGCATGGAAAGGGAGAGATACCCTCTCTGAGACTAGATCTGTTTTAGACTAGAATAGCTATTCTCCCCCTTTTTGGGGGAGAGGGTATTAGAGCTTAGTGAGACAATAATGGTTCCACTAGAAAAGCTTTGTCTGTGGTTATCAAAGGGTATCAAAGCTTTTTGGCAAACTTCTTGCAGTTTGCAAAACAAATTTGCAAACTTCTGGTATCAAAGGATATCAAATGAAGATACATCCTTTGTAGTCCCCTTTCTTTTACCATATTATACATATACACCAAATATAGAGTATGTATCTCAGAAAAGATAATATCCCAGGTTACAAGATGCAAGATCTTCCGAATTTGATACAAATTTTCTTTTGAAATTTCATCTCCTTTGAATGGTTTTTCAAACAATTTCCTGTAATCACCCTTATAGGAAACTAAGCTTCGGTACATATCACAACCCATGGACTCTAATATGAGGGCCCATGAAATATGCTTTTCAGCATATGATATACATATCTTTCTCTGAACCTGTTCCAATATCGATACATATATCACGGACCCTTCCAATAAGTACATGAAGCTTTAATGACTAAGGAGGTATATAATTGAGACAAGTACATGACATTTAAAGAGATGGACTCAATAATTGAGAAGATGAATGGACAAGTAAAAAAAGAAGCTCAGAGAGTGTGTAGAGAGGTTAGAGAGAGAGAGTCTAAAGATGGGATCTTAGAAAGATAAATACGTAAAGAAGGTAGTAAGATAAAGGGGATTTTAATGAGGTGAAAAGGGGACCACAAGCTTTAAAGAGAAAGGAAGAGAGGTACGTAAAGCCTTAAAGAAAGAGACAAGTAAGGCTTAAAGAGGGAATTACAAAGGGAAAGAGGGAAGTACAAAGGAAGTACAAAGGTTTTAAATGAAGAGATGGCAAATAATTTAATGGATAAGGAGAGAAGTACCAATAATAAAAGAAGTAAAGAACGGAGAGAGAATGGGAAGCACGGGAGATCCTCGGGGTCCTGAGGTAGAGTAATGCCTGCCACTGTTGGTGAAGATGCATGAATGAAAAGTGAGAGAAGCTCTTATTGTTGAGAGCCCAAAAGGTGACATGGGACCTTCTCTT